ATTTCAATGGAAGATCAAGCACACTGCGGGAAACCAAATTTACACAATTAAATTGTTCTAAATTGAAGCACAACAATCCTACACACTTAACATTCAAAATCAGGAAAAATGTACTGTTAAGACAATACATCTAAGAAGCAGTTTGAAAGAATTAATAAGCAGAAATGGAGAACATCTTGCTGTGATATTTATGATGTTCACTCCTTGTCCTCCTCTGCTGACTGGTCCAATGACTGCTTCTTTGTTGAAGTACTTTCATTGTTGGGTGGGTCTGGAAATAACTGTCTCTTGGCTCCCTTCCCCGCAGTTGGAGGACTACGCTCAGGACCTCCGGGTTGGTTGCTGGTAGAACTCATCGGTTCTTTGCTGGCTGGATCCGGTGATAACTGTCCCTTTGTTCCACTTGTCTCAATGCCTGATTCTTTCTGCATTCTTGTGTTGATTGATTCATAACTTTTGGTTGTAGATGAGGAGGTCTTCAAGCATTGCTTCAGAATCAGAAGCTGCAATATGAGAACCGAGTAAGATTTCACTATTAAGGCATACTGCAGATGAGTTTTGTTCAAAAAGAAGTTCATACATAAAAGCTTTAATGGATGCTTGCCTTCTTTTCAAATTCTCTTAAAAGTAACTCGAGCTGCGCATCATCATCTTTCTTTGGAAGAGAGGGACCAACATCAGGCACACTAGAGAAAGGCTCCTGATTCACATTTGCAAGTCCTGACGAACTGTTGAGCCTCTGAATCCGGTTCTTGCAGACTAATATCGCCTTCTGGCAATATTCAATGGCTTCCTCAATCTTGTAGCAATTTGCCAAGCAGAAACATATTTTAAAATTTCTGGGAGCTTTAAGTGAAGGCTGTAATCAGTCAAAAAGCAGGGGAGACAGGTATATATATGCCTAGGAATCATAATACATAGAAGTAGCAGTCAATTAATAAAGTACTAAATCAGCTATGAATGGATACAGATGAGCGATGCGTTGATTGTCTGGTTCAACCACACCCTCCAGAATGGATAGTGCTTCCTGATAGTGCTTGCAAGAATCCACATAACTCCCTGCAAAATATGGAGCATACATCGAGGTTCAATAAATACAATCTTCCTATGACAAGAAATGCCTATAGATTTCTGTTACACGAAAATTTCAAATTAAAAGTATAGGACAGATTGCCTTTTTTCAGTTCCACCTCCCCAAGGGCAGATAAGAGGTCCACCTTCTCCACTGAGTCACCTGGTTGCATTTCTACCATTTTCAGTGACACCTTCCCAAGGACATCAACTAGATGTAACCCTGCAGATTCCAGGTCGTCTGTACAAAAACACGGCTACAATTAGAATGTTCCTGATCAAGATATGCTCATTCATATAGACAAGTCAGTCATAAGCATTGTTTATAGCTAGTACGAATACAAATACTGAAATTGTTTCTCAATCAGTCATAAGCATTGTTTCTCAATCAAAAACTAGAGATTCTTGGAAAATTTTCGAAGGTTCAAAGTGAGAAGGCCCATGAGTGATTTCGATCTCTTTTAGTGATTGATGTATTTGGCTTCATTAAATTCATTTAAAAACTTTTGTATCAATGCAGATGAATAAAAGACATGAATGAGATTCAATTGCAGAACCTGAACAAATCACTTATTCAGCATTGATTCGAGCAGAAGAATGTAAATCAAATTCACAAGTTTTCACATCTCTCCATTATGATTGGACATAAAAACTAAGAATTTTCCCTATCCAACATCTAAGTGTGGAAAAATTTCGGGCACTAACCATCACGCGGAACTTGTATTGCAACAATAGTTGTTCCATACAGTTGGTAATCTGCCTCCATTGGCAAAGCCTCAATCATTACATCGTTTTCTATACGAAATTGAGGCTCCAGGGCAAGACCGTATTTGAATTTTTCTGGGACAAATTGATCAGCAAATTCGGCGCCATTGCTTTCAATCCCGAATGACAGACAAAAAGTTGAGTAGGATTATTGTTAAAAGGTTGCAGATTGTTCAGGCAAATAGTGTATGCATACCTTTGCAATATTATTGCCAGACATCCAAAATACATAAATAAATATATACGTTCATAAATTCATATATGCAATATATGTGCATATAGAAAAAGATGAAGTTTTGTCATAAAACCTAAAATGATATAATTGGAGATAAAAGAGAATAAAAATAATAATTAAAAGGACAATGGATAGTATGTGAGATAGTTCTCACCACAGTTTAGTCGATTTAGGTAGTTATTCCATATTAGTCAAGATCGAACCCTAAATTAAGAACACTATAAACTTGATAGATCGAAAATGGATTAAATTTGGAATTAGAATGTATAATTAAATGATCAAGTACAACGAGAAAAGAATCAACGAAGCACTAATAGCATAACAAAACAGAGCACCAAAGCTAAGAACCCCCAATATTGAATCAGCAAATCATCAAGAACAACGAAAAGAATCAACGAGAGACACAAGAATAGAACAAGAATCGAAAGATCATAGTAAGAAATACTAACAAAGTTTTAAGAACACGCTTGAAGAGATTAAAGTCACGAGCTTGAAAGGCCTTCGATCCCTTCTCCATCAATAAAGCAGCCGATTTCAGGGCGAAAGGAGGATCATCGGAGTCTGTCTGATTTGCTTCGTTTTGATCCGGGTTCGCAGCATCACGGTTCCCTTCGGTTGTTTGAGTAGATGGAGGAGAATCATCGGAGTGTGTCTGAGTTGCTGCGTTTCGATTCAGGTTCGCAGCATCAGGGTTCTCTTCGATTGGATCAACAGAGTTCTGTGAATAAGTTCCGGCTGTTTCTACCGATAGGATCGAACCCGATGAAGAATCCTCTGATGCCATTCACAATTCTCACTTTTCTAAACAAGATTTGCAGAAGAAAATGTGACCATTCCTAATGGAAAGGAGGACTTTTAAATGGGTTTTGCGCGCCAAGCCGTTTGGGTTACGGTTATTTCAGTTGAGCATGGTGGAGCTGTATGTGGGTCCCATTTTATGCATTGGGTCACTAAAGCCTATTGCAGGCGCGTGTGTGTACGTTGGGCTAGTACTTGGGTATGGACAAGGTTTCCTAATTCATTGGGCCTGAACGCATTTAAATCACAAGCCCAATCTGACAACACAGGTGCCCTGACTCGTAATATGGATTATCATTTGTGCAACCAAACTAGGTCTAAAGTGAAGTTATATTTCTAAAAAGGGACTACTAAAATGGGATATTGGGAGTAGTACTAATAAGTAATATTTTGATGTCTAATGATATTTCCTCAGTTTTTAAAGCAGAAGCATGAGAGTTGAAATTTGTATAAGGGCAAGTGGGGGTGTGTGATTGAGTGCTCAAATTCCTCTAAGGGCAAGTGGGATGTGTTTTTTGCCAAGGTGAAAGAAGAAGAAGAAGGAGGGAGGAATGAAAAATATATCATGTGCACTAGAAACGGTTGGAATCAACCTCCCAGCGGTATCAGATTAACTCAACTCTCACTAGTGCATCCTGGGTTGGAATCAACCTAACAACAATATTGGGTCAACTCAATTGTCTTCAATTTACCTGGGTTTGATCCTAGCCTCCTAGGTGCACCTAGAATTGGTCCTACAAAGCCATATAGTTCCATGCAGCATTTCATTTAAACAAAAGATCCAAGAATAGGCTTTTGGCATCAAGAACCATGATGATTCAGATTTGGAAGACTTATGTTAGAAAAACACCATTTCACCTAAATTCAATTGAGTTCGAACCTTTGATCCAACGGAATGGAAGTGGACAGAATTGTACAGACGACCTAAATTCAACTTATGTTAGCTATCCTATAGGTTTGTTGCTGGCACTTATTGGTGTAAAGTATTTCTGGCTGCTTTCGCTGGTGCTCAGTGTGTGGATAGCAGATATTAAGCTGCAGAGTTGGAATCTTCAATCCGAGAATGGAGTAAATTTTAATAAGAGACATTGCATATGAATTTTATTCAAACAGAAGTTCATACACAAAGCTTGAGTGAGTGCTTGCCTTGTTTTCAAAATGATCTTAACGCAACCTCAGCTTTCTTCAGCATAGCTTTCTCCCGAAAAAGAGGGATCAACATTTGGACATCTTGATGAATTATTTAATTCATCGTTTGGTTCTAAAATCGTAGAACCAAACTGAACCATTCTCTCACAGTTGGTTCGATTTGCTTCAATTCCATTGACTTCAGTGTCTGTTTTGGTTTCAATTTTTTTGGAATTGTATGAACCTATTTGATTCCAAAATGTGTCTTATCCAAACCGTGTGAACCTATTAGAACTTGACAGACCATTATGACAGGACCATTACAGAAATACTCGACAGCCTTGCTTTTACAATATTCAAAATTACTTTTGGATTATAATCTGTCATTTTTTTAAATCTTAGCCTTTCTTTCATCTCAATGTAAGACCTAATACTGGATACAGTTTCCACTGCAAAGTATATGTACTGCATCCAGTACAAATTTGAATACTTCTCTGCAACAAGTCTTGGAAGAAATGTCACGAATGACCAGAGACAAACCACACCCAAGGACTTGGAAGGTCACCATCATAGCAACCAAGGCACCACTTCTTTCTAGAGATTGAAAGCTTTCACTGATTCATGTCTATATAGGCAGAGTCAGATGACTCGTGGCATGATAGTGTCATATAACATTAGACCATTTTTTAAGTGTGTAGTTTTCTTAATGTCGCCAACATTGAGATGTGTAGGTTTTTGTAAACAGTATCGAAGAACCAATTTCAATGGAAGATAAAGCAGCACACTGCAAGGAACCAAATTTACGCAATTAAAATTGTTCTAAAATGAAGCACAATTCAGTCCTACAGACTTAACATTCAAAATCAGGAAATATGTACTGTGAGACTAAAAGCATGTAAGAGCAGACTAAGCAGTTTGAAAGAATTAATGAGCAGAAATAGAGCATCTTGCTGTGAGATAATGACCAAATGCTCAGGAGAATCCACCATTTGTCAGAAAACCTTCAAGGTGTTCCCTCCTTGTCCTCCTCTGTTGATGATGGGCCCAATGAATGCTTCTTTGTTGGAGTACTTTCAGTGCTGGAGGAATCTGGAAATAACTGTCTCTTGACTTCCTTCCCCGCAGTTGGAGGACTATGCTCAGGACCTCCGGGTTGTTTGCTGGTAGCACTCATCGGTTCTTTGCTGGCTGGATCCGGTGATAACTGTCTCTTTGTTCCACTTGCCTCAATGCCTGATTGTTTCTGCATTCTTGTGTTGATGTTGGGTGAATCAAAACTTGAGTCTGTAGGTGAGGATGACATCATCGGATGCTGCAGAATCAGAAGCTGCAATATGAGAACTGAGTAAGATTTCACCACTAACACCAAGGCACTAAGGCATATTGCAGATGAGTTTTGTTCAAAAAGAAGTTCATACGTATATAAAAGCTTTAATGGATGCTTGCCTTTCTTTCAAATTCTCTTAAAAGTAACTCGAACTTTCCAATATCACCAGCTTTATCCAGAAGAGAGAGACCAGCATCAGGCGCACTAGAAGAAGGTCCAGGCGAACTATTGAGCCTCTGAATCCGGTTCTTGCAGATTGATATAGCCTTCACGCAATATTCAGTGGCTTGCTTAATGTCATTGCATTTTGCCAAGCACATACATATTTTAAAATTTCTGGGAGCTTTAAGTGAAGGCTGTGATCAGTCAAAAAGCAGGGGAGACAAGTATATATATGTGCTATATAGAAGCAACACACAGAAGTAGCAGTCAATAAATAAAGTAGTAAATACGAACGGATACAGATGAGCTATGCGTTGATTGTCTGGTTCAACCAAACGCTCCATAATGGATAGTGCCTCCCGATAGTGCTTAAAAGAATCCATATAATTCCCTGCAAAATATGGAACATACATCAAGGTTCAATATATACAATTTTCCCACGACCAGAAATGCTGATAGATTTCTGTTTCTTGAAATATTCAAATTGATAGTATTGGACAGGTTACTTTTTTTAAGTTCCAGCTCCCCAAGGGCAGATAAGACGTCCACCTTCGCCACTGAGTCACCTGGTTGCTTGTCTAGCATTGTCTTTGCACCAACTAGATATAACCCTGCAGGTTCCAGGTTGTCTGTACAAAAAATCCGGCTACAATTAGAGTGTTCCTGATCAAGATATGCTCATTCACATTCATACAGACAAGTAAGTCATAATCATAGTTTCTAGCTTGCAGGACTTTAAATACTTTAAGCTTTCGCAGAAATATCAAACCGACACCTAGATAGAGACCAAAATGTGTTTCTTTACAGTAGTGATTGATCTGTGTCTTGATATATATGTATGTGTGTAATACTTCATTTAACAACGCATACTTTTGTATCGATGCAGATGCATGCATAAAAGACGTGGATGAGATTCAACTGCAGAACCTAAACTAATCCACTTATTCAACATTGATTTGAGAAGAAGAACATAAAACCAAATTCACAAGTTTTCGCATCTCACCATTAATATTGGACATGAAAATGAAGAATTCGGACATAAAAACAAAGAATTTTCACTATCCATCATCTAAAGGTGGAATAATTTATGGCACTGACCATCACCCGGAACTTCTTTTGCAATAAAAGTCAATCCATGTACTCCGTAATCTGTCTCCATTGGCAAAGCCTCAGTCATTAGATCGTCTTCTACACGAAATTGAACTTGCAGGGCAAGACCCTTGTAAAGGTTTGCCATGACAAATAGATCATCATGTCCGGGTTGGTTGTCAATCTTGAATGACAGACAAAAGTTGAATAGGAGTTGTTAAAAGCTTTCAGATTGTTCAGGCAATTAGTGTATGAATACCTTTGCAATATTTTTGCACACATCCAAAATACATGAATAAATATATACGTGCATATATTCATATATGCATATATATCATGCAATATATGTGTGTATATAGAAAACGAAGAAATTTTGTCATAAAATCTAAAATGATCTAATTGGAGATAAAAATAATAATAATAATTAAAAGGACAATAAATTATATGTGCGATAGTTCTCACCACAGTTTAGTCTATCTAGGCAGTTATTACATAGCGTGTGTGTGTGTGTGTATGTGCGTGTATATTCACTCTTAATTGTCCTCTCAGTTCGTGTATGATCATATTTACTCTCAGTTTGTGTATAGTCGCATCATTTGAGATGATGCTGATTGTGATGTTTTCGTTTTTCGTCATTTTTCGTTTTTAGAATGTTTCGTTTCGGCAAAAGTATTTTCGTCTTTTCACGTTTTGCGTGCTGGACACTATGGAGTATGCCGAGAGTGTCAGAGAGTTGTTTAGAGCATTCCATTGAGTTCATAACTCTTGGAAATGCAAGAGTTGTCATTTTTGCATTTTATCATTTTTCGAGCTGGATGGTCTCGTGTGGGACTCGCTACCGGATTTGTTGTACACGGGAGTTTTGGTTCAGTCCATTTGCATCTCATATATTTTATTTTATGTGCATTTTGTGTTTATGTAGGTTTTATATGGTTGTGTGCATGTATATAATTTTGTGGTGGAGAAATTAAAAGGAAAAGAAAAAAAATATATATAAATCAAAAGATTATTGGAAGTGATGGGACTCACCACTAACCCATTTGGTGGCCAAGAGACCATAAATTGGTCTCATTCTCTCTCTTTCCCCGCAGGTTCTCTCTTCCCCTCACATTTCATCATTTTTTTTTTTTTTTTTGAAAGCAAACTTCAATCTCAAATTTCTTTCTCACCCTTTGGAAATTTTGGAAGCTGTTTGCGGAAAAACGGAGAGCACGGCGTGATTTACGTGTGAGTACAAACAATTTCAGTTTTTGGCCTCACCTAGGATTTCGAATTTGAGACCCATTTTGAGGTTTTTTCTACAAATTGAGGTAGGGGTGTTCTAATGCATAAATTCTTGTACTTTTGTGAGTTTTCTTTTTTAATTTGATATCAAGCATGCTAAATTTGTATAATCTTTGTAAAGATTGTTTAAATGTTGGATACGGAACACATGAGTACTTGTTAATTATTGTGTAGTGATTATATATTCCTATATGAAATTAAATTCATGTCTTAATTGCTAACCATGTTAAATTGATGATTAATTGAAAGCATGAGTTCTGTATTTTAAAATTTTATGTGGGATAGTATGTGTAAAAAATTTTATTGTTGAGTTGATTATTTGAAACATGGAGCGTTTTTGCATCCATCGGGAAGAGAAAATGGAAAAAAGTTTTCAAAACAAAGGAAACAATTTTTTTGGGAAAGTATTTCTAAAAATGTTTGCGAAAACCGGACGCCTAGGAGGCGCCTAGTGGTCCGTGATATTAGTGTAGTCTAGAAGGGAGTGTAGTTGAGCTAACTAGGTTGGATGCGACGCCTTGGAGGTGTCTTGTGGTCGTGGATAGTTAGTCAATCCCCCTTTTGTGACGCCTTGGAGGTGCCTTGGGTCGGATTACACTAACAGTTTGGTTGTTGAAACGGAATTATTTCGAAAATGGGGAGTGGCATTTGCATAATATTGCATGTCATGGCATTGTAGTAAATTTGTGATTGGTTGACATTTGCTACATACTTGTTGTTGTGGTAGAGAATATGTATTCCTCATGGTATGACCCCGTTCCTTTTTGCCCATTTTTTGTGTGAAATTCACGGGGATATAAGAAGTGTGTCTTAGATTTTCTTACTATGCTTATGCTCACCCCATCATTTTTTAACATTTTTCAGGATACGGAAAAGAAGTGGCGGACAACGATCCACCACAAATTTAGACGAGATTGGCGATCTATTTTATTTTATTATCTTTCGTATTAGAACTGTAATATTTTGTAAATGCAATCTTAACTATTTTGTGAAACTTTAGTTTAATTAGTATAATGTTGTAAGTTATGGATTTTTAAATTTTAGCTACATTTTATAGACTGTAACTTGATGTAACTAAGATGTGTTCCTTATTTGGATGAGATGGAGGAACGGGATTTTTTTTATATGTATGTAAACATTTTGGAAATATGATATAATATCTGTATTGTGCTTTGGGACATGATAGATTAGTTTTAAGCCAGTGAGGCCATTGCATTTTTATGTATTTCAACAGGTTGTAGAGAGACTTTTTCTGTGGAGGTTATGCCGAAATTATATATATTTTATTATTATTATTATTTTGGTATCATTTTTTAGTCGTTACAAATTTGGTATCAGAGCAATGGTTCGAATACCATTAAGATAACGGGTAGAGGCCTACCTAGGATTGCATGGGAAGTTGAATTGCATGTTTATATGCTTATGTGCTAAATGTTAAAATTGTTTGAAAGGCATGCCTAATTGCTTAATTGCTTATGTGATTACGTGCTAAGTGCTTAGTGTTATATATTATTAGCATGATCATATTTATCATTAGTTGGGTATTCTGGGAATATGGAAGGTATTTATATGTTTCCATTCTTGTCATTTCATTAATGTGAAGACTTAGTTTTCGGACGTGTTTTAGTGTCATCGTTTTTTACCCGTTTCCTTTTTCCTATAGCGTCATGCCACCATGAAGGGATCTCGGGGAAAGTTCTAGCTCCAATCCCACAGAAATGGATCAGGAGTAAGTTGAAGAGGATGTGTTGTTATGGGATTTGGTCCCACCAAGAGGGGGACAGGCGAGGGGGACCGTTGATCCACCTCTTCAGATAAGTGAGGAACAGTTGAAGTTGGTCGTTCAGGCAGCTCTTTTCGATGCATTTCGACCAGCGGGAGCGTCATCATCATAGGTCGTGCCACCACCGGCACAACCACCACCACCTCCAAAGACAAATGAGTCAGATGATACTCTTTACCGCATTACAAAGTTTATGAAATTGATGCCAGCTCTGTTTGAGGGCGGTCCAGATCCGCTTGTTGTGGATAGTTTCATAGATAGAGTGGAGAAGCATCTTAACGCCATGAATTTGGCGATGGACAAATTGAAGATCACTTTGGCAACTTATAACTGTAACGACCCTAAACTGATACCCTTTTAAAAAGAAATTTTTTGACATGACCTCCCCTAAAAAGGGGACTTCAACCACCTGCTCAATTAAAAAAAAAAAATGCAATGGCCCTTCCTGGCCTTTCAAAACACCTCCAACCTGTCCTAACACATAATAAAATTAATATACTCCAACATCCCATCCATCCGTTCATTATACCTCAACATGGCTCATCACATGGTGGAATATCTGCATACCGTTTAATCCAAATTATCATAATTACAGTCTTAAAATATAGTTACAATAACAAGAGTACACAAATCTCTATACCAAATATAACAAACTAAGATTTTACAAAAATATGAGACTTAATACAAAAATTGTAATACCCCGTAATTTTAAAGAATGTATTTAAATTAATCTGGTGTTAGGTTAATTAATTTTATTTATTTGTGCATACTACATTATTATATTAAGTTCATTTAATTATGCATGTAAATTAATTGTGTATGTTAAAATAGTAAATTTATTCATTTAATTATGCATGTATTATTAATAATAATTTCATTTGTTGGTTATGCTTAAATTAATCATTATTAGTTAATTAAAGTATTATATTTGTGTTATATAGTATTATGATGATATAATGTATTATTTTGTAATAATAATAATTATATTAGTTTAATAATAATAATAATAATAATAATATAATAATAATAATAATTATTATAAAAGTTTATTAATAATAATATTAGTAATAATAATAATAATATTTATAATAATAATAATAGTATTAAACCAAAGTCATGATGAAATTAGAGATTAGGATAGGATTGCATCAATGGTTATGGTTGGAATTAAAGCCATATAGGTAGGAATATGAGAAATGGGTGAGAAGTTATTATAAATTAGATATTTGTAATATTTATATTATATATTTTGTCTATAAATTAACTAGCTTGCCTTAGAAAAAAATAAAAGGGAGTTAGAAACAAAGTATAAATTCTAGAGAGCTATTTTATAAGAGTGAAAGGAAAAGAGAAAGAGAAAGAAGCTTGGACCGGTGTAGGCAATTTTACCCGACTACGCGCAGACCGGCGGATTTATTTTAAATCCAAAAAGGCAAGTTATTATCTACTTTTCCCCTTTGAATTAATAAATTAATTGTTTAGCCTATTTTTATGCATAGAGCCAAGGTTAGGAGGTTGATAAATTATTAATTTTATTTTATTAAATTAATGGAATTTTAATTATATAGGATGGTATATATTTATTTAATGTCCTATGAATTTAATAATGGCTAAAAATAATTAAATAAGACTTTAGGGATTTTTCTAGAATTTTCTAGATTTTTCCGGGCATTTTCTGCAATTTCCGGCGACCTTCCGGCGAGTTTTCCGGTCGCCGGCAGTGAGGGAGACGACCGGAGTGATCCGGTGCAACGCGGCGCACCATAGGAGGGTATACGCGCGCATCCTGGCCATTAGTGGAGTCTGATTGATCCGGTGCATCGCGGTCCATGATACCGCGGTACACCCGGATCTATGGGCGTTGGATGGAGGGAAGATAGGGTGAGATGATCCAGTGTGACGCGAGTACGGAGTCCGGATGCAGCCAACCAACCAGGAAGTGACACGTCAGCAAGGCACCCTTAGTGCGCGCGTGGGAGCGCGTGGCTGACGCCAGACGCGCGTGGAGGCGCGTGGGAGAGTGGGGAAGGTTGGGCTGCGCGTGGGGAGGCTCTGGGAGGCGCGTGAGGGCGCGTGTGGGG